GAATATGCTTTACACTTGTATATTATACTGTTATAAAGGTAACTATGCTATAATACAACTATAAACACTTTATACATCTATCATACTATGCCTAATTTTAGTCCCTTTCCGTTCCCACCATTTTCTTATACGGAACGATACGAACGATGGGAAGGAAAAGTGGATTTGACGGTGGAAGAAAAGCATAGGAAGGGGAAATATCCTCTTTATGTGTGTCTCTCTCTTCGTTGACTAAGAGCAGGCAGCGCATCTGCAATTGCGGATGTATAAAAATAAAATAATAAATTGTGGGCATCGATCGCTTCGCTTTCTCAGCAAATTCAGGTAAACTATATATAAAAGTTTAATTAGCATTGTCCTGTCTATTTGTACATTGAAAGTCTTTTATGTCTGCAAAATTCTGCGTCACAGCAGTATTTTTAAAGCAACATCGCTGAGTTGCGACATAGTCGAGTGTACTTACTCTGAAAACCTCTTTAAATTAGCTCAAGGACTGACTTGGGACGCTGTTACAAAGCTTCTGAGAAGTTTTTACGAATTATTCTAATATACAGTCTTCAGTTAATTAAGAAAGACAGGTCTAAATATTAGATATAAATGTTATCCTATTGTACTTAAATCGTTTGTCACTAAAGACCCTTAGTTAGATTTCTCTAACAAAACTGAGGACGACCACTTAATAACTCTGTGTGCAATTATTGATTTAATTTATAACAAAATTATTAATTATTAAACTATCAATTTGTCTTAATTAATTCAATTATTTCGTAACTTAACGGTTTTTAACTATAAGTAACCATAAAAGTAAACGCTTTGACTATATTAAGTTTTATGACATACGAGTAATGTTCTACTAACGTTACGAGAGATTATTTAAGTTAACCGTTTACTACCTCATTAATTATTAATTTAAAATTACTAATAGATGTATAAAATGAGTGTGTATTAAAGACACGTTAATAATATTTTATTTAAATCGTTCTGTGTATCTGACACATAAAACTTCTTGGCAATTGTGAAACAGGGCCTTGCCTTAACTATATTGTGCTAGTATGTATGGATATATGAATGATTGTTCCAATATAATTTGCTTTAGAATTATTCTCGATGGTTTTTTTTTTATCTTTTTATGGCTGTCACTAATTATTTTCATTTAGCACTTTGGAACTTTCGCTCCCCGGACAGTCCCGCACGGAAGTGTAATATAATTGTCAGTTGTTTATAGATTTAAATGAACCGTTTATCGTTTAGTTATTTGCGATACTTCCGTCCGTTTACAATCTGTTGCATATATCGACCTTCCTTCACGCACGTTGGTACAGAAGCCAAGTAAATATGTATCGAATTTTACAAAAACCTGGAAATCCGTAATTATCAGCTTGGATTACACTTCGTCATGAGTATGGATTAATATGTCAGTTTTAAACAAAAACGTATTAATATTTACACTTTTACGGAAACGGAAATGCTTTTGTTTTTAAAACTATGAGAACCGAGAATGCTTCTAATTTGTGTGAAATCGCAAATAAACTGCTAACTGTGCACCGTTAACTGCTAACGTAAGTTCTGTATGCGTTTCCTTTTAGTTAACAAACAAAATACACGAAAAACAAAACAAAATGCACTAAAAACAAAACAAAATACACCAAAAACAAAATATTCTCAAAAAAAACAGTACAC